GCTTGCATGCCTGGGGTCAACTCAGGTTGGCTGTGATTTATTTTTATGTTGCAAGGCTACATTTAATTGGCTAATATTTATTTGGGATTTGTGTCTCTACATTTGAGAGAATCCTCTGGAATTTTCTTTCCTCACATTGTCCTTGTCTGGTTTGGGGGTCAAGGTTATCCTAGCCTCACAGAAGACATTGGATGACTTTCTCATTCTCTGAAAACTGTGTAAGTTCAAGATTAAGGCTTAATAAAGCTTGTGAACGCCATCTGGCTCTGACATCATTTGGAGTCAGAAACTCCTGAATGCCAATTCAATTTTATTAACAATTTGTATTTCTTCTTGAGCCAGCTTGGGTAAATTTATGATTTTCTAGAAAATTATCCCTTTCACATACATTTTTCAGCTCTGCCTCTCATTGGCTGCATTACCTGGGAACTCTTTTTTTTTTAAAAAAAAAACAGCTTTATTGAGGTTTTTAAACAACTTGATTTAAAATTCACTTATTTGAGAAACACAATGCATTGATCTCCAGAAATTTTATCAGATAACTACAACCAATCCCATAAACTGGTTTTAGAACACTTTCATGCTCCCTATAAGATCCCTAGGTCCATTTGTAAAATAATAGCTTTATTGAGATATGATTCATAGAGCCTACAATTCAACTACTTAAAGTATACAATTCAATGGTTTTTAGGATATTCATGAAGTTGTGCACTATCACATCAATTTTAGAATATTTTCATTGCCCCCTCAATGAAACCCTGTACCCCTCAGCAGTCACTCCCCTACCCCTTCCTCCAAAGCCTTAAGTAACCACTAATCTACTTATGGTCTCTGTAGACCTATTCTGGAAATTTCATATAAATGAAATCATATCATATGTGGCCATTTGAGTCTGGCTTCTTCCACTTGGAGTATTTTCAAAGCTTATCCATGTTGTAGCATGTATCAGTATTTCATGTCTTCTTATTTGCTAAATAATGTTCCATTCCTATACGAATATACTATATTTTATTTATCCGTTCATCAATTGACAGACATTTGAATTGGGCTATTATGAACAATGCTGCTATGAACATTTGTGTACAAGTTTTTGTGTGGACATGTTTTCAGTTTTCTTGGGTGTATACTTAGGGGTGGAATTACTTGGGTTGCATGGTGGTTCTGTGTTTAACCTTTTAAGGAACTGTCAAAATTTCCCCAAAGGGGCTATACTATTTTCTGTTCCCATGGCAGTGTACAAGGGTCCCAATTCCATCTTCACCAGCACTTTGCTATTATCTGTCTTTCTGATTATTGCCATCCAACTAGGTATGAGGCGGTGTCTTGTAGTTTTGATTTGCATTTTCCTGATGGGTGGCTAAAGATGTTGTGAATCTTTTCGGGTATTTAGAGGTCATTGTGTATCTTCTTTGGAGAAGTCTATTCTTATCCTTTGTCCATTTTTCAGTTAGGTTATTTATATTTTTATTGAGTTGTAAGAGTTCATTTCATAGTCTGGATACAAGCGCCTAATTAAATGTATGATTTGCAAATAGTTCCTCCCATTCTGTACGTTGTCTTTTCACTTTCTTGATGATGTCCTTTGCAACAAGAAAAGTTCTAAATTTTGTTGAAGTCCAATTTATCTATTTGTTGTTGTTGTTGTTTCTTGTGCTTTTGGTGTCATAGCTAAGAAATTACTGCATAATCCGAGATCATAAAGATTTATGCCTATTCTTTTTTTCTAGTTTTACAGTTTTAGAACTTATATTTAGGCCCTTGACCCATTTCAAGTTAAATTTTGTATATGACATATGTTAGAGGTCCAACTTCATTCTTTTGCATATGGATATCCTAGTTGTCCCAGAACCATGTGTTGAAAAATATTATTCTTTACCTATTGAATTGTCTTGGCATTGTTGTCAAAAAGATCAATTGACTGTAAACGTGAGGGCTTATTTCTGGACACTAAATTCTATTCCATTGATCTATGTCTAGCCTCATGCTTGTCTTGACTACTGTAGCTTTGTAACAAGTTTTGAAATTGAGAGGTGTGAGTCCCCCAACTTTTTTTTATTTTTGAGATTGTTTTGGCTAGTCTGGGTGCCTTGGATTTCCATGTGAATTTTAGGATCAGCTAATCGATTTCTGCAAAGAAGGAAGCTAGAATTTTGATGGAGACTGGGTTGAATCTGTAAGTCAGTTTGGGGAATATTGCCATCTTAACAATAGTAAGTCTTCCAATTTATGAACACGACATGTCTTTTTATTTATTTTGATATTCTTTAATTTCTGTCAACAATGCTTTGTAATTTTCAGAACATAAAATTTGTACTCCTTTTGTTAAATTCATTCTTATTTTATTATTTTTAATGTTATTGTAAATTAAATTGTTTTCTTAATTTTGTTTTTTGGGTTGTTCACTGCTAATGTATAGAAATACAACTTATTTTTGTAGTTTTATATTTTAGTTAGTTTTATATTTTTGAATGGATTCTTTAGGATTTTCTCTATACAAGATCATATTATCTGCAAATTAAACTATTTTTCCTTCCTTCCAATCTGGATGCCTTTAATATTTTCTTGCCTACTGTCCTGCCTAGAACCTCTAGTACAATGTCGAATAGAAATGAGGGAGTAGCCATCCTTGTCTTGTTTCTGATCTGGGGGAAATGCATTCAGTATTGCACCATAAGTAATGGTGCTAGCTTGGGTTTTTCATAAATCCTCTTTATCAGGTTGAAAAAGAAGTTTCTTTTTATTCCCAGTGTGTTGAGTTTGTTTTTTAATCATGAAGAGGTGTTGAATTTAATTAAATGTTTTCTGCATCTATTGAGATGATCATTTTCATCCTTTATTCTACTGATATGGTGTATTATATTAAATGATTTTCAGATTTGAAGCCAATCTTGCCTCCCTGGGATAAATCCCACGGTATATAATCCTTATTTATAAGTTGATGAATTTAATTTGCTAGTATTTTGTTGAGGATTTTTGCATCTATTCAGAAGAGCCCTCATGCCCATTTGCAGTTAATCTCATTCCCACCTCCAATCTCAGGCAACCATCAGTTTACTTTTTGACTCTATAGATTTGCCTATTCTGGTCATTTCATACAAATGGAATTAACATGTGATCTTTTGTGACTAGCTTTCTTTAACTTAGCATATTATTTTTGAAGACAATCTCATCCATGTTGCATCAGTACTTCATTCCTTTTTGTGGCTGAATAGCATCCCATTGTCTGGATCGAGTATATTGTCTCTTCATCAGTTGATGGATATTTACATGTTTCCAGTTTGGGGCTATCATGAATGATGCTATGAACGTTCATGTAGAAGTCTTGTCTTTGCATGGACATGTTTTCATTTCTCTTGAGCAGACACCTAGCAGTGGAATGACTGGGTCCTATGGTAGTTTTACATTTACAATATAGAGAAACTGCTGAACTTCAGAAATGGCTGTACCATCTTATATTCCCATCAGCAAAGTATGAGGGCTACCTCGGAACTTATTTAAACTGAGTGTTTCTGCATCGAAAAAGTGGTGATAATATTAACACTGGTTTCATAAAGTGAGCATGAAATGAAATTCTCACGCGTGAAGGACTTAGCATGGCACTGGATCCAGACACACATAAAGGCTTAAAAAATGGCATCTTTTTTGTTCCTTCATCTGTGCTAATGTCTCACACCTCAAACCTTGCTTTGCTTACCTGGATGGGATTGTCTTGTGCCCTCCATGGAAGCTGACTTGTTGGTGTTGATTTCCAGGCTCTTCTCATTAATCAGTCCCCTGTGGTCTAACAGGATCCCCCAGACCTAGTCCCTTGATCCTACTGCCTTTAAGGTCTGTGCCAACCACTTTGGCTCAGCAGGCAGTGCTCCATGATGCCACCCTTGTCTGCTGGATGTCAGGACAGAAGGCATTGATTGCTCTGCTTGGAAGGGAGGTCTTCCATCCTCCATATGCCCTAACTCCAGGCTACTCCTGTTTACCCTTTAGGATATAATTTGGGCATCACTTCCTCCAGGAAGCCTTCCCTAATGACCACCACCCCCACCTCCAGCTCCTATAATGTATATTACTACAACTGTCACATCATTTTGTAATTATATTTTTATATGTCTGTGTCTTGTGAGCATCCTGAGGATAGGGGCTTTCTTACCCCTTCTTACCCACTTCTGTCTCCCTTGTGCCTAGCACATAGCATGCATTCAAAAACCCGTAAGTAACCATATCCATGTACAAAGTATTAAGTTATATATTAGCATCAAGGAAAATTCTACCAAAAAAAAATCTGAACTGGGCCTTGAAGAATAAACAGGAGCCTGCTCAGGTGAAATGGAGATGAGGAAAATATGTTTTTTCAGGAACTGACAAAGAAGTCCAGTGTGGCTATGGGTGGTGGGAAGCAGTGGCAGTGAGGCTGGAAAGGTAGGGTGAGCCAAGTGAAGGGACACTTCCTCCTGAGGGGAGGGAGGAGCCATCCATCAAGGAGAGGAGTGACATGAGAGCTGTTTTAGAAGGATCTCTCCAGATTAGTGAAAGGAATGGCTCTCAAACTTCAGCTGCATTAAAACCACCTAGAGGACTCATTAAGACACAGATTCTGGGTCTCACCCCTCAAATTTCTTATTCAAGTCCGGGGTGGGACCTGAGAATATGCATTTCTACAAGTTCCCAAGTAATACCGGTCTAAGGGCCCCACTTTGAAAACCACTGATTCAGAGGGGATGGAGAAGGATGGGGAGCAGTGAGAATATTAAGGAATCCATAGAAACAGCTCAGGTGAGAGGTGATGGAGGTGGGGCAAGGGCTCACATTTTAGATCGGGGTGCTGCTAACTTCTCACCAATAAGTGTCTTGTTGATGAGAATTCAGGCACAATAATAAGCCAGTGTGGGAAAGGAAGGCTGTTTCCGGGGAGAAATCAGTAATTTGGTCAGAAGAGTCCCTGCCCCCACAACCTGGGAGGATCAGACTCACACTTGGTAATGATCTTCAGAAAGCACAACAGAGACAAGGCACCCAGAGTTGACATTTAATGCCCAATCGTTACCACACAAGGAGGTTCACACGGTGCTCATCAAGGCAGGACCCAGGGCAAAACCAGAAATGAGGACGGAGGTAAGTGACCCATACGGAGTCCCAGCACAGGGACCAGGTTCCCTCTAGACACATGTGCCACATACAAGGCTTCTTCACTTACCCAGGAGCCAGCAGGGTGACCGGGCTCTGGTCACTGAGGGTTCCCGTGGGAGAAGAGGGTCCCAGGATGAGGTGGGGAGCTCGAAACACAGTGATGAGAACCAGAAAGCTGCTTGCAAACAACCCCAAAAGGCTTTCGCTTCAGACGCTTTAAGCCACACAAGGCTTGGTCGCGGAACACCCACACTCACTAAAGACTAAATATGGCACAAAACCGAGGCTGCGAACACTCAGGGAGAGAAAATAAGGTCAAAACCACACTAGAGCCGCTTTGACTTGCTTCAACCTCCTCCTCCTCCCTGCATCCGGGCAGGTCAGACCACAGCACGGCCATGGGGAAGGGACACTACTCTGGTTTTAAGAAATCTCTTCAAATCTCCAAGTCTAATGAACAATTTAATGCTACTGGGTTCCCTGGAGCCTCTGAGCCTTGGAGGCCCCTGGGGATATGAGTGACATGGGGCGCTGCTGGAGGTGCTGGGAAATTTCCTGGTAGAAATAATGTACCTCAGAAAGAAACTGTTCTTTATTCTACTCTGGTTTTAAAGTTTACCAGTTCCCTGAAGGCAATTCCACTCAAAATGCTTCCTAAAGCACCTGATGGAACCTGGGTGGTTTCAGGTGTCACTGGCAAGAAAGAGGCACCAGCATGTTTCCTACCCTGAGCCTGAGGCTTGGTCTGGGTGGTCCAGCCTCTGGGCCAGGCCAGGTATGGAGGGGACAGAACAGGAAGAGGTAGGGGCAGCTGCCCTGGATATCGGCCTTGGGCCCAAGGGGCAGCCCTTCTGTCTAGCCTTATGGCTGGGCATTTGGGGAATGAGATTAAATTCTGGCCAGACTTCACCATTAAATTCATTGCTGGTGGGTCCTGACGGCCTCTTCTTCCTTTTCCCTTACTTCTAGGAGAAAGCTCTAGACAGAGGTCCAAGGTATAGAAATCAATTATCTCTGCCCTCAGAATTGGTGTATGGCTAAACGGCAGCCCAGCGGAAACCTCACAACAGCACCGCCGTCTCCAGCCCCACATGCCACAAACCAGATCCCAGGCAGCACCCCCTTCCCCTACCCAAGGGCCAAGGTGGTCCCTTGGCCCTGGGCACACTGGGCTTCAAAACAGCCTTCTGAGGAGGCCCGTGGGAGTATTTGGGGAAGGGAGACCAAAGGCCCCTCTGTAAAGCATACAAAATTAGCCCTGTTTAAAGAGTGGGGCATCTGTGATCATTCCTGAGAGGGTGCTAACTTGGGGACCCAGGAAGTTGAGCAAATGACAAGGTATGACTGTCCACAGCTGGACATTAACTCCCATTGGACCCCGCCCCCAAAGAAGTCCACTTGCCAAACTTTAGATGCCAGTAGATCAGCTCAGGAACAATTCCATGGAGCCAACCTCGTACTTGAAACCAAATTAATGCTACAAACTTAAAAAAAAAAAAAGTGCTGCCCAGCTGAGCCCTTGAGGGAACCAAGCTCCCTGAGGGTGGGTGGTGGGTCTCTCAGACCACCACTCCTGGCTGCCTCTCTCCAGAAGGCACAGCCTGGTTCAGCCCAGAGCACCCCCACCCCAGGTTGGGTTGGGGAGGAGAGCTGACCCCCACACTTAGCTGAGTTACAGGGACAATGTTGGACAGTCAAGCCTCTGGGGGAGGGGATGAGGCCAAAGGCCTTCTCAGGACCCCAAGCCTGAAGAGGAAACCAGAAACCCTCTCCCCATTAGCTGCCAAGGTCTGGTCTGCAACATAAGACTCTCTTCCCTGTCACCCCTTCAGCATTCCTGTGACAAAAGGAACCAACATGCCATCAAGCCGTGGTCACTTCCGTCCTTGGGGGTCTGTGTGAGAGCTGGGGGGGAAGGGGAGGCCCTTAAAAAATCACTCCCTTCAACAGATACAGCAAAAAAATCCTTCCAGAAAAGGGAAGGATGATACCTGCAGCTACCAGAGGTGTTTTCTGGAAGCTTCTTGTCTATGGCGGGGCTGCTTCTGCCTCCCAGGTCCTCAGTGTAAACCAGCTCCTGTCCCAGCGAGAGGCAACAATGGAGAAAAGGTGCCCCTGGCAGGGCTATAGCTGCTCCCACGTTCGGGCCCTTTTTCCCCAGGGGCTCTTCTGGGCTGACTCCCTGGAGGATTGTTTTTTACATTCCAAGGGGAGGGAGAGGTAAGGAATTCCATAGGATGAGGTCTGCTCCTGTTTCGCCTGGGCGGGGGCTGGCTCCCTGGAACCAGCTCTGGGACACAGGAGACCAGCAGTCCTGCAGCCCTGCTCGCTATAATTAGGCAGCCCAAGTGCAATTAGCATTCCAGCAGGCTGGACAGCCCTCAGAGGCCCTGCCCCTGCTGCTATGGGGAATCGGGGAGGTGGCCTGGGCCCCTGGGAGCCCTGGCCTACCCTTGGACAGCGGACGGCGCTGGGCCTGTCTGAGGAAAAAAAACTAGGAACTAGAACTACCTCCCTGCTAAAACTCAAGGAAGGCAAACAAACAAAACTCAACCTGAAATAAATACAAAGGCATTAAGTGCTTCTTGATAAGTTGAGGGTCCTAATTGCCCCTCACAAGGCAGTGGCACGGCCTCTACTTGGACCCGGTCACCTCCCCTGTGGCCCTTCACGTGAGAGGTCAGAGGTCAGAAGACTGGCTGGACCTTCCCAGGCCCAGCTCCCGTTAGGAAGGACAGGACCCAACCCCTGATAGGCTCCTCACCCATATCCTCCACATCCCCCTGGACAGTGGCGGCCGGCGGGTGGGTAGGAAAGGAAAGGGGGTGTCCCCATACCCTGAGGGGACCCTCATGTCCCCTGTCCTGTGCAGGCAAAGGGCCTGTCGGTCTGTCTGAGAGGAGGTAGAGACCGCGCAGGACTGCTGGGGGCAGGCAGGGCCATTCAGTTAATCAGCAGGTCCCCAAGGTCATATGAGTCGAAGAGGTCACTGATGCCCTCCCCTCCATCCAGGCCCCACAGGTAGTCGTCCTGATCCAAGGGCGGGGAGAAGCTGATCAGAGGGGAGCTGCACGGTAGGGTGGGGGACAGGAACTGGTCCTCGGTCTGCTGCAGGAGTGGGTGTGGCAGCTCCAGCATGCTGTCGGTGGCCTCCAGGGGGACAAGGGATGGCAGGAGCGGCGGCGGGACCTGCTGGGACATCAGTGCTGGCGCTGGAGGCAAACAGACAAGGGTTATGCCTGATGCTGGTGCTGAAAGCCTCTGGTCAGATCTCCAGAAACAAGAACAGCCTCCAGTTCCCCGGACAGCTGTGTACTCTGCCCGTCTCTCCTACCCTTCCCTGCATCTAATGGCACAGGGACACCTCCTTTTCCCACACCAGCTCCAGCAACTGCCCTCATTCACCCACACTCTCTCCCCTCCCCTCTCCTGTCTCCAAACCCACCTCCACCTTCTACATTCAACTATATCCCCTGGCACCACCAAGGCCCTGGCCCCTGAAATCATTTTCTCTTTCCTGCCACTCTCCCAGATCATTCCCATCAACACACAGACATCCTCTAACAACACCGAGTTTTAAAAAGAATCCTTCCCTGACCTCATGACTGTCTCCAATTACCAGCCCATTTTACTGCTCCCTTTCACAGTGCATTTCTCAAGAGTTACCTATGCTCACTCTCTACTCCCCACCACTATTCACTCCTCTACCCACTCCAACCTGGGCTCCGTCCCCACCATGCCACTGAACCAACGACCCTGCATTGCTAAATCCAATGGTCAGTTCTCTGGCCTCATCCTCTTTGACCTTCCAGCAGAATCTGATGCAGTTGCTCACACCCTTCTTGAAACATCTTCTTCACTTGGCTTCGGATGTACTAGATTCTCCTGTTTCCTTTCTCATATCTCTGGCCGCTTCTCCCAGGTCTCCTTTCCTGGGTCCTCCTTCTCTTCTTCCCAACTTCCAAGCCCTGAAGCCCAGGGCTCCATCCTCAGATGCTCCCCTCTGGCTGCACTTCTTTCTCCCCAGGTGATCTCAGCTGGCCTTGGGGCTTTAAATCCCTCTCCAAATCTACTGCCAAGTGGACGCCCACCCTCGGGGCTCTGGGCTCCTGCGTGACTACTCCTGCTTCACCTCTGCTTGGATTTCTGAGCTACATCAGAACTCAGCCTGTCGAAACCAAGCTCCTGATCTTCCCCCAAACCTGTGTCTTCCCCCATCGTACTGAATGAACCCCCTCCCACTCAGTTGCTTAGGCCGAAAAGCCCAAGAACCATCTCTAATCCTGCCGTCTCCCCTGCACCCAAACCAGCACCAAGTTCAGTCAGCTCCGCAGCCAGATCAGCCCTCTAAGCTGCCCATTCCTCTTCAGTTCTGCTGCTTGATCCTGGCGCCAGCCCCCTCCTCTCTCACCGAGGCCCCTGCCCGAGCCTCCTACCATTCACCTTGCTTCGACTCTTGGCCCTTGCAGTCTGAGCTCTGACTTAAAAATGGCTTAGAATAAAATCCAAGTTCCAGGCAGGACTGAGACGGCCCCCACATACCTTTCTATTCTCTCTCCCACCTGCCTCTACTGCTCACACTCAGCCTCTCCAGACACACTGGCCATCACCGATTCCTCAGCACACCAAGCTCAGTTCCATTCAGAGGTAAGGAGGTGAATTTCCCACACAGGGATGTGGAACCACTGGATATCTGCTGCCAAATATACTCTGAATCTCACCCAGAATTTCACCATTTGAGTCGTTCCTTACCAACCAAGCATTGCTTTGAAAATACAACCATGCTGCTGCGCCAGACCGCCTGAGCAGTCTCTCACTAGTGTAACTCTGGGCAAGGGACAATGTTCATAGGCCTCCATTTCCTCATCCCTAAAATGAGGAGGATGATACCTGCCTCAGGTGTTGAGAGGCTTACATGGGAAGTGCAGGTAGACAACAGCTGGTCTGCAGAGACCCCTCGCTGCGTCTGCCGGCTGCCCTTCTTAAAAAACAATAATAGCCCCTGTTTGCTAAGGGCTTGCCCGGCAGCTCTGCTCTCAGGGAGAGGCCTGTTTCACCTCCTCAGACACTCAGGCAGCGCCAAGGGAGGCACTGTTGTTACCTCTGCTTACAGGTGAGGCAACTGAGGCTCAAAGAAGCCAATTAAATGTAGCATTTGAATAAAAAGAAAATCAAATGTTGCAGAGGACTGCAGGTGTCAAAGTTAAGACGCCTGGCTTGGGAGCGAGGAAGAGGACAGCCCCTCTCACCCCGCTATAGGACCCAGCACTTCAGTTTTCTCACCAGGAAAAATAGAGCCCACCTCACTGAGTTGCTGGAAGCAGCTACTAAGATATCACACGTGGGAGTCTCTCCCTCTCTTCTTTCTCTCTCCCTCTCACCCGTTGCCTCTCTCGCCAGAAGAGAACAGCTCTTTGTAACATCTATGCCCCCACCACACCCTGAATGGCTCATATTCACTTAAATATCTCCAAACCCACACATAGTACATGTTCAATTCACATGAGCTTTTTAAAAAAGTCACAGGCACGCTGTATCATCGCCTGAAACCCACCCAATAATCATGACGGAGTTTCAATGTCTCCATTTTAGAGATGTGAAAACAGAGGCTCAGGGAGGTTAGAGCGACTCTCCCACAGTCGCCCAGTCACAGGAGGTGAGGCGCAGACTCAAACAAGTCTCCCAACTTCAGCTCTAGTGCCCTCAGCCACGTTTAGGTCTACCTCAGAATGTCGCAGCCTGGAGGGATGTTAGATGACTCCCGTTCAAACCCCTCCCATCACAGATGAGGAAAACTGAGGCCCCAAAGCGTTAATGATTCCCCTGGTGGTGCCAGAACTAGGATGGAACCTGGGTCCCAAGACTGTAGTGGCCTCCTCTTTGCATGTGGCCCCTGGCGCAGACCTTGGGCTGGAACATGCTTCGTGTGCATATATGCATGTGTGTGGGTGTTTACCTTCTGGAAAACTTCCTCCTGCTCTTTTCAGCAGGTACAACACTCAGAGGCCACGTGGCAAGGGTGGAGAGGGGCAGCAAGGGAGCGGGCCCCACACAGAGCTGGGTTCTGGGCTGGCCCCTCCACCAACTGTTCTGTAAGCCTCTACTGCTCTTGGACCTAGGCTCTTGACCTGTACAACTGAGGTAAAAACTTCACCCTTGCTTATGCAGTAGGTCCCACACCTCTGCCCAAGGTCTCAGAAGACAACCGAAGGTTCTGACTCTGGAGAGCTGTGCACATGTTGACAGTGGATCGAAGAAGCAGAGCGCAGGCAGAGGAGGGAAGACAGGGTGGGGCACAGGTCTGGGGTGGGAGATAGGCACTGGGAGGTGCCCAGAGGGACAGATGGCTGGTGGAGGGACAGCCCTGGTCCCCAGAGCAGGTCAGGAGCACAGGAGAATCACTAGAGAAGAACTGGGAGTCTGGGCTCTTGTCTAAGCTCTGCCACTAACTTGCTGTGTGACCTTAGGGAAATCACTTGCCCTCTCTGGGCCTCAGTTTATTCATGTGTAAAATGAAGGGCTGAGTTACACCATGGGTCAGCAAATTTCTGTAAAGGGCTGGATAGTATTTTAGGCTTTGCAGGGCACTTATGGTCTCGTCACAGAGTCACCCTACCCCAAGCCCCCAATTCTTTAAAAATATGAAAATCGTTCATAGTTCATGGGTTATACAAAAACAGGCCAGATAGTTTTATTTACCCTTGAGTTAAAGAAATGAAAGCATCAGCTTCCCCAATGAGATAAGGAATGTGCATGTGCTTTATAAAGTGTAAAGTGCAACGCACACACGTTGGGGGAGGACAGCGTCCCTGGCTGCTGGGTAGAAGGCAGGTACTCAACAAATGATGATATGGAAGAGGAAACTCCAAGGCTGGTCACTCTTCCCACCTCCTGTCCCTCTGGACAGAGGGTCTTACCTGACGATGCCATGGGTTCTGTCATCCCAAGGTTGGTGCTGCTGCTGGGCTGAGCGGAGTCAGGGCTGGGGCTGAGGGTGGAGGTGGAGGGGAGGGGCTCCTTGGAAGGACTGTCGGGCTCCTGCACCTCTTCTGGGCACAGGTAGACTTCGATAGGCCCCTGCGTGCTCTTCAAATATATCTGCAGGTTTTCCTGGAGAAGGGAGAGAGGCCAGGTCATGGCTCTGGGCAGCCGGATGCTTCCTCATGGATCACGAGGCTCCCACCACTCATGCCAGCAAGCTCAGCTCCTGAACTGGGCACTGGGGCCAGCCCCATTTGGTAGATATCTGTCTGGACCCTAGACCCCCTTCTTTTTGGGAGAAAGCCTTGATTTTTCTTTGGGAAATCACTCTTCCCCTACTCTCAGGCCTGAGCTGGTGTCATAAAAGCTGTCTTAACCACAGGCAGGGGCAAGCCCACCTGGGGACGGAGTTGGCCCAGAGAACAGAAGAGTGAGAGATGGCAAGTGTGAGGCCGACTTGAAGTCAGGGTTTGAGATCTGCATCCAGCCTTGCCTACGATCTCCAAATCTTCCCCTGGACCTGTCACTTGGTTCCCCACAGGCCCCTCTCAGTTAAGCCAGTTGGACTTGGCTTTCTGTTATTTGTAACCAAGAGACTGGGATACCTGGCCTTCCCACCCCTGCCTCCTTCCTACCCCATACCCGCAGCTTAAGGCACGACTATCTACACACACGCCATTCTAGCTGGCGTTCAGGTCTCCACGCCCGAGCTCTGGCCATTCCTCTGCCTGCCCTTACTTCACCTGGCAAAGAGCCTATTCATTCTTTTTTTTTAATTATTATTTTATCATTCTTATTTCTAATGGAGGCACATGGGAAACGAACCCAAGACCTCGTGCATGCTAAGCACATGCTCTACCAATGAGCTATACTGAACCCCTGATCCTATTCATTCTTTAGGACTCAGCTTAACTGTCATCACCCGTGGGCTTTTCTGCCAACTGTCCTTTCTCCAGGCCCTCAAAGCGTATCTTCAGTCTATAAATGAGAGCATCACTGCTTGCTTGGTTGGGTCTTTTTCCCACAGGTCCTGAGCTCCTCCAAGGTGAATGGCAGGGCCTTATTTATGTTAATTTTTTTCATTAAACAAATTATTTCTTATAAGACTCTGGGCTAGGGGTACCACATGGGTGGAACATGCTTTTGTGGAGGTTACATTCTTATAGACGAAGCAGAACATAATCATCTAATCACCAATATATCTCAGCAAACAGAGGTTAAACATGATGGAAAAGGACAGGTGGTTATGAAATCTGGGGGGTAATTAGGGAAGGCTTCCTGAGGAGGTGATGTTCAGGTTGAGACCTATAGAATGAATAGCAGCAAACCAAGAAGAGAGAGGGAAGAGTATTTCGCTGAAGGGAACGGTATATGAGAAGGCCTAGTACTAGGGTCAAGTTAAGTGTGGTGGGGAAACTGCAGGCAGGTCAGCGTGGCTGCAGTGAAGACAGATCGGGGGCAGCATGAGAGAGGAGGCTGGTGAGGTCAGAGCACAGAGGGCCTCAAGTGTTAAGAACTTTGGTCTTTAACCTAGGAGAGCATGATTAACACGAAAAGATTATTGTGAGTACTAACCCCACTGAGTGTGGGTACATGTTGGCACATGCAAGGGAACGGAGGGGCTGGCGGGATGAGGGGAGAAATCAGGAATACACATCTTCTCAGGCTGGTACCTGATCCAGCTTCCACCACTTCTGCCCTGGCTCGGAGACCATCATCTTGCCGTGGCCATCAGCATGGACCTGGGAAGACTGGGACTGGGCTGTACCAGGGACGGAATCTGCAGAGCTGCCCGGAACTTTCCTAACCCTGCTCTCCACCAGGTGCTCGCCTCTCACCTCATTCCTGTCAGGCACTTCCAGTCTTGTCTGCGGAGGGGCCTTGACAGCGATCACCGTCTGCTCCTTAAAGTTACCCACAGCACGGATGTCCTGGTAAGTCACATAGGCCAGTGTAGGGGCAGGAGAGTCAAGGAAAAGTGACTGGTCAAAATTCAAACCCCCAGCCTGCCAGGAAGAGATCTAACCCACCTCTCAAAGCCTCTAAACATCTCCTTCTCATTCCTTATGGAACTTACAAATAACCCCAAACTGTAACCTGTTCTTTTAATATCATAAGCTAACTTGGATCCCTTTAGAAAGCAAATGGGGGTGTAAATCATTAAACAAAAAAATACTGCCTTATATCAGTTTTTTACATAAAGGCTTCATCTGCCAAACTAGATTATTAGCTCTGAGAAGGTAGGAAAAGGTGCCTTATTTCTTTCTATTTCTCACAATGCTTACCATCCTTCCAAAAAGGTCAATCCAAATACCAATTACACAGTCAAAATGTGGGGAAAACATATGAAAAGCCATTGCAAAGTCTATGCTCTTTGACCTCATCGTTTCAATCCTAAAAATCTAACCCAGGGAAATAAAAAAAACTTGGGAAAATGTTCTATACATAAAGATATTCATCACAATGTTGCTTTATAAAGGCAGAAATCTAGAATCGATCTAAATGTCCATCTCAGGTCTTAACAAATCAGAGTGGTCTGAGTGGGACATTCTCAAGCCCTTTAAAATGAGGTTAAGCCATATGAAGCTGCTGTTTTTAGAAGTAAAAAAAAATGGTCCAGTATCAGCAATTTCATGTGGATCAACCAAATAGGAAGGATATGTAACATAAAAACCATCTATGGTAACATAGTAAGTGGAGAAGAGCAGGATAAAACCTTATGTGCAGCAGGTACACGCTGTATTTAAATAACACACACCTGGTGCATAATTAAGGAACGATGGCTGTGTCAAGGCGGCAGCTTTCTTTCTTTTCTCCATTTTCCAGATTTACAGAAATGTACTTGTCTTATCTTTATAATGAGAAAGTAACTTCAATAGACATGAGAGGAAAAGCCACTAGGGAAGGAAGGACAGAAATGCCAGAACCCTAGGGTGGGTCGGTCCTAGCTGGAAGGTACAGCACCAACTCTGGAGAGTTATGAGCCTACAACAGCTCCGCTGCTCCCGGACCCCTCCCCCTCAACCAAAGAGGATATCTCTTGTTGGCCTTGTCCTCCGTCAAGTGCTTGAAGTTCAGAGAACAGCTCTGGATGAGCTGGTCCAAGGCCTGCTCCATGCTCATCAGCTCCTTCAGCTCCCGCCCCAGCTGCTGCTGCTTCCCCGGCCGAGTGGGGTCTTCAAATAGTTCCCTGCCTCTGGGGACAGAGAATTCCTCCAGCGTTAGTCTCAGTCCACATCCAGGGACCCCAATCCCAGGGCTGCTGTGCAAAGCTGCACAGATGGTATGGACAAAACCAGGAAGAGGCCACTCAAACGGCCTACAGTGGTGTCTTCTAGGTTGTACAAATCAGTGGTCCTGCCTAGCTCCCAGGGAGCTGCCAGGGATTGGAACTTGAGGTTTAAAAGAAACAAGTCAGGGTCTGACCCCACTTTGGGGGGGCTTTCAACTCTATCTACCCTGTGCTCCAGGCTTCCCCAAATGGTAGAGAGCTGGAACGACTTCAGTCCTGATTGCTCCCCCTGGGTTCTTTTAGAGTTCACGCCAGGGGCTGCAGGTCTGTTCTTTAAGACTTTGTAGAGTTGAGAAAAGGGTCCGGAGTACTTATATCTCAGAGCTGAAAGGAGCCAGAGTAACCACAGCTCAGATCCCAGGGGACTTCCCTAAGTTAGGAGAGGGCAATCTTGGAACCCCTGACTCAAGAGAATCTGGGGTCCTTTTAGCCTTTACATGTCCTAGAAATCATTCTCTGTCCCCGCCGTGCTTACCTAATATTCCCTCAGCACACTCCTGCTCTTCCACCCATCTCTTAAATACATTTGCTCCACTCCCAGCATTTAAGCCTATTGGATGTTGCCCTTGCTTCTCCCCGCCAGCACTTGTGCCCATTGGATGTTGCTCTCAGGCCCGCCCTCCCCCCAACCCGCGCATTCACAACTTTTGGATCTTGCCCCTGGTTCTGCGCATGTGCGCCCCCTGGTGCCATCGGCCCCACCCAGGCACTCACACCCACTGGATGTTGTTCTTGGCCTTCTTGCGGATGAGCTGGATGCCCTCCAGCACATTGGTGATGTCATAGATGCGGCGCTTCTGCACATCCAGCACCTCAGCAGCCCAGTTCAGGTCCAGGACCCCATCCTCAGACTCACTCAGGAGGTAAATGAACTTCTTGGTGAGCAGCCCCAATGACGTGTCATAGCGAGTCTTCTCCCCGGGTGACTTGGGGGCTGAGGAGGAAAGGGGCTCAGTCACTGCTCAGAGAGGGCCCCCTGGGGAACCTCTTCCATTGACCTGGACCCACTAAGTATCCCTCTTCAGATGAGCACCCACTTGCCAGTTTACAAAGCATTGAGAGGGAGAGGGTCATTCACCACCACTGTCCAAACAGGGAATCCAATACCTAGAGAGGGAAAGTGACTTGCTGAAGGTCTCACAATCGGGGGTACAGTCAGGGCTGGAAACCAAATATTCTAACTCCTGGTTTGCACCTTTCCACCAAAGCTCAGGGCAGCCATAACACCACCACCAAATACTTACTGTGTGTAGGTCACTGTTCTAAGCACTTTCCATATACAGCAAATTTAATCCTTACAACACCCTATAAGTCTGGTGTACAACCATCCCCATTTTACAGATGAGAATACTGAGACAGACTAAGTAACTTGCTCAGCTCACCCATAAAGTGGCAAAGCTGGGATTTAAATCCAAACCGTCTGGTTCCAGAGTCTTCCTTCCTAACCTTTCCTGCCATTATGTCAGAATTTGGAATTAGGGTAGGGAGGGAACAATGAGCTTGGATTTGAGAAAATGTTTATAGACTTGCTTTTTCTCCCTTCCAATTTTGATATAATTGACATACAGCACTGTACAAGTTAAAGGTATAGACTTGCTTTTTCTTTCTATGTGTAGCCCAATGATTATCTGAGAGGAATTAGTCCTATTATGTCACATGTGGCAGGTTCATGAAAAGGTCCCTTTCTTAATGAAGTCGATGTCACAAGACCGCATCTCAGCTGCAGCATCTTAAACCACAAGAGGACTTTTGCAATTTAGTGACTTGCAAGTCATATAGCAAGTTAGTGGCCAAACTATTTCTGGAAACTGAGTTTTAGAGAGTCTCAGATTCCTCTGGAAGGGGACTTTAGAACCTCTTAATATACAGACAAATACAGGCAAGTATTCGGCACACACACTGATTTGTCAATTTTTGCACCCATGGCAGACATTACTGATTGATTAGCGCACTTAGGATCCTTTAATAAATAGCTCTGGGCAGCCTCTAGCAATCAATTGGAAAGGAAACTTTCATGCTATTCCTGACTTAGCTGGGCCTTGTTTTACAGATGAGACAACTAAGGTTCACAGAAGAGGAGCAATCAGTCAAGTCAGGGCAGAGCCCTGCCCAGATCCCCAAATTCCAGACTCTCATGCTTCCAACCCAGTCACAAACCTTCATTAGGTCTCTGTCTCCCCAAAGTATTGTTCCTCCCTAACACAGTTGCTTGAACTCCCTCTTTAAGCAGAGTATTGACAGAAAATATCAAGAGGCAGCCATTCCCTCCAACTTAGCTTTAGGAAGGCATCATGTGTGCAGCCTCTGGATCTTAAAAAGCTTCACTTCCCTTTCAATCACTTATTTACCTGTCTGCATGTGGGAGAAAGGCCCTGGTTAGCTCCCATCACTCTCTGAGCTGGATTATTTCTTTTAGAAAAGGTCAGATCGAAGTGATTTCAAAACTTTAAAAAATAGTAAGCTGCCAAATAAAATGCCAGTCATCATGTTTAGATCATGAGAGCGATGTATAGTGTGGGAGGAGCCATGCCAGACCTGTGTGTATGGGTTCTGGTCCTGACTCCACTGACTAGTCGTGACCTTAGGCAAGTCACTGACGCTCTGAGTCTCCAGCTGTCTCGTCAGTAAAAGGGGGATAATCCCACCTCCTGGAAGGATCCAGTGAGAATGCACAGGAAACTGCTTTGTAAACCAGAAAGTGTGCTACAAATATTAGTCCTGGTGATTTGGGCAAGGCTGCTGTCCCCTGCCCCTGCCCACCCCACCCCCATCTCCTGAGCCTGCCCTTAAATGCCCCATTGGCATGGCTTACTTTTGGGGCTGGGGAGGCCATCCACTCTAACGCTCTTCCCCTTGGGGGTCCGGAATTCAGGGACCGCAGGCCTCCCGATCCCCTCCAGGTCCAGCTTCCTTTTGGCCTTGGGGAGAGAGGGGAGAGAGAGGCAGAGTCTGAGCATCGTTCCTCCCCCGACCCGGGGCCAAAGCACTGAGGCCGCCAGCAGCCACCTCCTGCCTCAGTTTACCACCAGTCCTGGGTGAAACAGCACTGTACCTGGTAAGGAAATTTCAAGACCCAAAAAGTGAGCTCTCAGGGGAAGAAGTCCTATTTCTGGGGGCACACAACACTCCCGTCTTTGGAGGCCCAGGCACTTGAGACTACTAAAGCCAGTCTGGGTTTTAAACTCAGGATTCCTTAGTAACAGGCCCCAAGGTCACTTCTACATCCACCCCGCCCCCAACCCCTCCACTCCCAGGAAGGAGCCGGTGGGGCCTAAACCACGTCAGGCCCAGGAGAGCCCCTCCCTCCCACTGCCGAAGCAGCTGGCCCAGCCAGCCTGAGTGCCCATCACAGCTTCACAGCTGGCCCTTATCAGGGTGGGGCTGGGCATCCACCCAGATCCAGGGCACTTCCTGGCTCAGTGCCACACCCCAGGGAGGTGCCCACATGAGAAGCAGTGCAAACATCCCCCACCCCCATGTTTGGGCTCCAGCTCAAGGGCCCCAGGCCTCCTGAATAGACTTTATTTGCCATTCTTTCTTCGCTGAGAGGGGCAGACAATGAATCCTTCCCCTGTGTCTTAAGGACAAGCAGCTGAGGTCCCCCTGCTCCCCCCTCCCTGTTCCCGCCAAGCTTGGGAAACACCTGCTGGGGAAATCAAACCACAGACCCATCTGCTCCTCTCCACCCCACTGCCACCCGGCCTCAATTACGCCCAGAAGCTGCACTGCCCCGGAAGGGGCCTCTCCTTGTTAGGGCTGGGCAGAGGCAGGGCGGGGGCACCGGGGCATGGGGGCACTGGGGCACAGGTCAGAGGCCTGGGCTTGAATCTTCACGGGCTCACTGTGTGACTTGGGGAAATGCTCCACATCAAGGAGCCTCAGTTTCCTCCTCTATAAAATGGGGTAGAATAGATCTACGGCAAGGGGCCATTGTAAGGATTTAAGCAAGACAATCTTTGTAAAGTGCTCAGCCTGTGGTTCAGTACACAGTAGGTGTTCAGGAAATGCAGAGTCCCTTGCCTAAAATCCAATCTTGGCCTCTTCCTTGACAAACTATTCTGGAGGTCACTGAGACCATTTCCTTCTTCTGCCCTTCCCCCAGTCACCCGGACACCCTACGCTGATGGGGAGGGAGAGGCTTATTTTAACCTTTGGTGGTGAGGTCATGCTCAGCAGGTCTGAGACTTCTAACCGCTGCTGAGCACAGCTGGGCTGACAGGTGTGGGAGGTGGTGATGGCTCTTCCTGCTGTCCCAGATCTCTTCCCCCAGTTCCTGCCTCCTCCAGGGAGTCTTTCTGGACTGATTTGAGGAGCCTGGCAATGATGTTCCTCTCTTCCACTCCCACCCAGACCTGGACACAATTACCTTCTTGCTTATTGCTCTTGAAGTCTCTCTGGAATATTCCTTTTCTAATCTCCCAGCTGGTGAGATGCTAGATTCTAGGAAAGGTGACCTGCTCTAGCCCCATCTTGTCTATAGAACAAGTCCCAATCATTCGCTGAGACCTTCTACCTGCCTCAGACCAAACCCCAGCATTCATCACCTCACTGAATCTTCCCAACACCATGAATCCACATTTTACAGCTGAAGTAACTGAGACCTGGTGAGGTCCAAGGTCTTTATCAATCCTGATCAAGGTTGTCCAGCCCAGGATCCTGCATCCATCCCTCAGAAGGAACACCAAGGACAGGGAAAGGAAGAGAAGTCAGGCTGAGTTCGACCTAAGGCAGAGGTGGCAGCCCGGTCTCTCCCCAACCTCACTCACATCCCCCACTTGACAGAAGCCAGCCGCTGCTGAGCTCACAGAACACAACAGGAAGAACGTCACTACCTGCAGAGCAGGGAGGAGGGGAGGACCTTGAACAGAGTACCTGTGCTGGGCCTACACTTGTTCATCCGTTCTACCTCAGCACGGCAATCCTTGGCAGACAAGTGGAGACTGAGAGAGGTTAAGCCACATGCCCAAGGTCACACAGACAAAGGGCAGAGTTTGAACTCAGGTCTGTCTGACTCCAAAGCCATGTATCAGGCTGCTCAGCTCCAACCCACGCACATTGCCCAAGAATTTGCAGGAATTTGAGCCAGGGCCTGGCTATGCCTACCTGCCCACATCACTTTCCTTTACACACACACACACACACACCAGCCCCCTCCCTTTTCTTCCTCTCCTTTGCCCTTATCCTGTGCTATCAGGGTCCCTAAGCAGCAAAGTGTCCCCTTCTTGAGGACATCTCTGACACATTTGAGCACTGCCCAGAGAAAAGTTAGCTCATGGATAAACCTGAGCCCGCAGAATAGAAGTAGCAAAGGACAAGCCCAGGAGGAGGGCCAAGGAGAGGCTGAGTACAGGTGGAGTTGGAGTTGGAGCTGCCCGGGCTCCCATCTAGGCTCGGTGAGCTGGGCAAATCCACTGACCTCTTGAGCTCCATCTGTAAAATGGGGATGCTATGCTCCCCCCTACCGAGGATTTGGTGAGAGTGCAGCCGAGTGCTTGCTCACACAGGGATGGAGAGCTGCAGTCACTGAAGCAGCAGGGGCACTGGCAAGGGGAAAGGTCCCAGGTGAGCTCAGGAGTGTGGGAGATGTGCCGAGAGCAAAGGCCAGCTCGGCTCTAACCTGGCCTTCTCAGACAGCCCCTGGGCTGTTTCTCACAGGCCTGCCAACCTCAAGGGAGACAAGCAATGCTCCTTCAGCCCTAGAAGTGAGAAGGCCAGAGATCCCAGACATACCCACTATGGGCAGCAAGGTGAGGAAACTAGGGCACAGAGGAGGGGAAGTGACCTGCCCAAGGTCACACAGGGAGTGGAGCCAGGTCTCTCTGAAGCTCCAAGTCCTAAGAGAGATGGTGGGGGTAGGAGCCAGTGTAAGGGGTTGAGAGCCTCGCTTCCAGATCCCCGCTCTGCCTCAAGGTAGCTTGGGAGGGACTCGCTGCCTTGCCTCCCGAGGCCTACATTTCCTCATCTGACCCGCCTTGTAGGGTTGTTCATTAAAGTCTTCATTTTCTTCCCTGGTCTCAGAGGATATTTGGAAAATACAGACAAACGAAAAGGAAAGAACTCTGCAGAATCCCACCCTCTTCACAGGTTCCTGCAGGGATGACACAGAGTGAGGCCATGTACCCCACCGGCTGGAGTAGGGACTCAACCAAGAAGCATCCCACGCCTTCTCCAGAGGTGGTGGAGAGCACTCCAGCCAGGGAGCGAGGAGACCTGGGTTCCTGCCTTCATTCTGCCATTGAACTTGGTTGCCATCCCAGGGCAGTGCCTAAGGTCCCTTTAAACAGCAGCTCCCCAACAAATCCTGCTCACCCTGCACTTTGCAGTCTGGCCACAAAGCAAGCGGCCACACCCAGGGTTAGGTTTGGAGCTGCTCCAGGTCACACCCTGTTAAAATGAGTAAGCAGGGGGCCAAGACCTGCCCACAGGGTTGCAGGGCACTGGGCAGCTGGGGACTGACAGGAGAAAGGGCTCTGGGCCCTGGAGGCCTTTAGGGTGATCTGATGTAAGGAGACTCTCCTACTTCTTGGCCTGGGACTTGGACAAGTGATTTCATGTCTCTGTTCAGTTTCCTCATCTGTAAGATTCCTCTGGTCCCAGGCATCTTGACCAAGATAACGAATGTGAAGAGTGCCAAGCAGTGCCTGGCACACCAGAGGCATTCAGTAAAAGAGAGTCATTCTTGCTGTGATCTCTGAGCCCCTTCGGGAGGGAGGTACAGACAGATGCACTTGGCTCCTCTGGGAGGGAAGCAGTTCAAAACCACAGCTGTTACTGAAACTCTGACTAGTCGCCTGAAAGCAGCTGGCCAGAGGAGAGAATGGGCCCACCACTGAGCCCCCTCCCTGCGGGCACCCAGCTCCTAATCAGGCAGGACTGGAGAAAGTCAAGGCTGCAGAGAAGAGACTAATGATCACCTGCCTTGTGGGTTAGACACCTCCCTGTACGACCTTGGACAGGTCACATGCCCTCTCTGAGCCTCAGTTCCCTCCTGCAATATGGAGCTACTAATAGCACCTTACTTCACAGGGGGCAAAACTGCTTTAGGCTGTAAACTGCTGAACAGAAGACAGATACAAAGTCCTGGTTTCCTTTGGCTGCTTGACCTGTAAAATAGGAATAGCACTCCTGCCTCCTTCCTCCTAGTTGTAATAATGTGCAGGAAGGGGCTCTAAAAAGGTTAAAGCTGTGAGCATGGGCAAAGCATGATCCCCATAGCAGGGAGTGGGGAATCTGCCTACAGCCAGAGACAGCTGGGGGCCTGTGCCTGCTGAATGATGAAAGTCTGATCAGATGCCTCTGGGGCAGAGCGGGTGGTCTAACCCCTGTACCTGAACTAAATTCACCACTTACAACAAAGCAAACCTACAACATCCCCGTTTCCCCACCCTGGAGCCTGCTCGTAAAACCCAGGACCTGGAGCTGGAAGAGACCTGAAATGAGTTAGTCCCACAGCTACCACACACACACACACACACACACACACAGAGAGAGAGAGAGAGAGAGAGAGAGAGAGAGAGAGAGAGAGAGAGAGAGGAGAGACACTTTAAAGAAAAGAAAACTAAAGCCCAAATTGGGGCCAAGACTGGTCCAAGGACACAGTGTAGTAGTGGCAATCAGGACAAGAAACCAGGGTCCCTAACTGCCACCCCCACTCCCTCAGGGCTCTTCCCACTCCACCCCTACCCTATGGTTGTTTCGATTCTCATGGGCTCCAGGAATTCCACTCCCACAAAACACACCCTGTGCCTGGTGCCACCACACTTTGGGCCCTCCCTGGCAACGGCCTGGGGGCTTGAAGAGGGAAGAGTCAATCTGAACAGGAACTCCAGGGGGCTGCCCCCAACTTGCACCTGCTACTGGCTGTCTGGGATGGAAGACTGGGCCTGGGGGAGGACCTAGGGCAGATAATGGGGAAAGAGTTAGCTGAATGGAAAATTTGGAGTCTCAAATTTTTAAAGCCCCCACAGTGTCCCGTAAGAGACCTGCCTCCTATTTTAAAGTCCCCACAGTATCTCCAGGCTCAGCTCAGTGCGGGAACCCTGGACAATAGCAGGTGCCCAGTACTAGTTTCTGGGCTAAACAATGAATGAAAGAATGAATGAATGACAGCAAAGTTGATTCCATGGCCTTCCCCAAGGTCACAGGGTGCACTGGGGGTGGTGGGTTGGATCTCCACACTCCTGACCCAGTGCTCATTCCATTCTGCTCCAAGGGATGAGGTTATTTCATCCCAAGTCTGAAAACGAAACGCTCTTCTACTCAGCTATTGGGGGCAACGGGTTGTTCTGGAAGCTGAAGACTCCCCTTCTCCCTCCCCAGACTCGACCTGCTTCACTCAAACTGGGTCTCTGGCGCCCATCCCGCCTCTCCCACACCCGGAAAAGCAGAGAAGGAAGCGTGGGTGTGGAGGGTCCCAGCATTACCGGCAGCCGGCCAGCCGGCACGCATCGCACAGCTTGACCCTCAGGTCCGTGGGGGGTGGCGTCGAGGCAGGTGCCTGGCGCTGCAGCGGGAGGCACAGTCTGCGGGTACAGCTGGGTGTAGTAGGTGGTGGTGGCC